TTAAAGGTAATTCTTTTGTTTTCCAAATGATATATATGTATACAAGAACATACCTATATGTACTTAAAGGATACTTAGAAAAAACATAAAATGTTAATCCCATTAATGCAGAAAAGTTTGTCGCTTCACCTTGGTTGAAAGCCCAACTCTGCTTTTATTTCAAGACTCGTACGTGTGAAATGCATTTACAGACATAGTTTTCTTTCAGTTTCTTTCGGGGGCCAAAAAAAATGAATAACCACATAGACACATTAATAATATGGACAAGAATCACAAGCGATTGTAACGTTAAACGGAGCGAGTGTTATGTAAAATACTGAAACCAAATGTTAAAGTACAATTTCAATGCCGTTGAGTGGTGAGCAGAGAGTTAGCATGTAACGTCAGACACAGATACAGATTGTTTTACCTAGTCTAATAACTGAGAATGAGCGCATTGTTAATGTTAATGGATGATGTGCCGCAGAATGAATTATATTATATATATATACAGAACCATATATGAGTACATACATGTGTAATTATTAACCAAAAACCGTAAGAGCAGGTTTTGACAGAAAATATGGCATAACCATTATATACACCAAATAATCAACTATATATGCATAAATGTATGATACATATACATATATTATACCACAAAAATAAATGCAAAATGTAACTTATGTGGATGTTAAGTTGATCTTTGATGTTGTAGATACAAGAGTACACCAGAAACAGTCACACCTAGACACGAATGTGTATTGCTTATTTTGAAATTCGAGCACATCGATCATCGATGATCGCGTTCTTATGTATAATTTCCCATAGAGTTTTTTTGCTTTCATTTTTTGGTGCAGTTTTTAAATTTCCATGTAATTGAACAGAAAGAGAATTTAATTTTGTAAATAAAACCTAAAAAAAAAAACCGAAATAACATCATATTTGATTGGGAAAATTCGAGGGGCTTTGATTTATAGGAAATGGGTTTCTGTACCCTAAATTAAAGGACTTCCATATCTGTTCCCAGTAAAGCTTCGCCAAAGTTTCCACTTATTTTGCCTCTGGAAAAGCTTAAACATAAGTTTAGTAAAGCTTTCTTGATGCAGCTTTATCCTCAACTTGTTTGAAACAGAATATATAAAGCTTTTCCCATTGGACCCTGCTGGCGAATTAAGTTACCACACTTTATATACATTTGCTTAATATTATCAGCATCAATTAATTATGAAACACTATTTTGGCCATGTCCAGGACATGCTTTCAAAATATAATTAATGAAAGCCAATTAATATGCCAGAATGAGCATGTGATAGCGCCAGGATATGGGGCAAAGGGATTAGTGTCTGATGGGTGGCCGTTTTTATGGATATCATAGTGGAAATGTCCCAATATACGTATTAGGGAAAGAAAACATTAATTCATGCTTAAGTAAAGCGGTTAATTTATGGATTTCCAACGCATATTCTATTAATGGTAAAGCTAAATTTAGAGCCTTTTGCAAAAAGGGCAACAATTTTAATTGTTGACTCAACTAATTGCGCGATATCCGCCTTCAGGGCCGGCAGAATGTCTTATCCGGCTGTGGCGGGCGTGTCCTGCCAACTTTTTCGTTGTTCTGTTTGTAGCCGGAAATATTTATTAACTAGAAATTGCATAGCACAAAGGCAACAAGCAGTCCACAGGAAGGAAGGAAATGGGCAAACATGTGACGCACCCCCAAAAGCAAATAAACGCTGGCGCTTCACACACACAAAAGTCCTGAGGAGAGCCAACGTGGCGTATACGCAATGTGTCGGCTACGTGCTGTGCTTAGGCCTTCATAAATCATCCGGCTGCGGGCATATGATAAATTGTCATACTAATTGTTTTTAGCGTCCAAGACAGGCCGCGAACCAACGTTGAACCACAGTTTTGGCCAAAGAATCCGGCAAGTTCGCCTTGTCCGAGGCTTTCCTTCAGCGGCTCGGCTTAAAGTATCAATGTTTAACGATTTTTCAGCCCATTTACTTTCCCTGTCAAATTTTGCATATCATTTGCTGGACCTTTCGAATTACCATTTTGAAAATTGGGCATTTAATATAGTAACATTTTGACCTTGGGAGTCTACAGGCCTCTTGAAATCATCAATCATAATTAGCAATTTTGGATGGAATATTCAGATACGCCTGATATGCCATACTGTCTCTTAAAAATATAACCAAAAAGATATTCAGTTACATGCCCCACCAATATGTAAAAATATTACGTTTCTATATGGTAACAACTTTTTGATTTATGACACATTAATAGTGACAGCTTACCCGCTTTTGGGTCAACTGGGCGTCGTCTTGCCAACAATAATAACAACTTCAACAACATCGGCAACAGCAACAGAAGCAACAAAGCCATCCGCAACATCCAACAACAGCTTCCAGGCAGAGCAACAGGTTTTGGCAGCGGCTGTCGTTTATGTTGCTTTTGACCAATTTCTTTTGGACTTCGGTCATCTCGGTCGTTTTTCGGTTTTCGGTTTTCGTTTTTTGGCTCGGACATGTCTGCGGGACAAAGTGTTTGACACTTTAATGAACTGCCTGGGGTCGCGTGTGTGAGCAGTTCATTAATATTAATGCCCCCCGGGTACTCCGTTTTCTCCAGTTTTTTTTTCTTTCTCCCCAGGCTTGCGCCATGCGAAATTCGTAGACCAGTTCGCTTTGGGCGAGACACTAATGTCAATTGCCGGCCATTAGCTAATATTTGGTAATTGCTCTTTAATTGAGCGGTGTTTCCCCGTGCTCAATAGTTTTGGGCCAACTCATATACCATATATACATTTATTTAGTTACATTCAAGCTCGTCATTTTGGAGTATGGGTGTATTCCTGACCTTTGATTGCCCAAACCCAGCTCGATCTGTACCTCTTAATGCTGTCATGATTTGTGTTTTTGGCGCCACAAAATAATGACCCCGATTATCTGACGGTAATTGTTGTTGCCACCCCTGGGAGTGGGTGGTCGAGTAGGTGGGTCTTTCATGGGGTGTTGTTTACCGCGTTGCTGCTATTGATGTCATGATTTATTGCCTAAGCCCCGACCACACGTGCCCCTAAAAAATTTTAATTAACAAAAGCAACCGCCCCATAGTGAGCCATGGTATCGCCAGCCAATCACTGCTATTGGTCCTATAAATAAATCTTATCATCCTCCGACTTTTGACGTTGCCAAATTGTTACTGTCATTGTTTGGCCTTAGTTTTGTTTGTCTTCTGTTCAAAGATAAACAGTAAACAAGGGGACTGTTTCGCCACGGCAACGTAGATACAAGAACAACAGAAATCCTGGCAATTCTGCAAAACTGATACCTGCTTTCGGCCCTGCGGACAGTTTATTTACTTTTGGACGCGCAGCTTTTTGTGGGTGTCACTGTCAATAGGCTGATAGGTTTTGCCGGCCCCCAGTTCACCAACAGTTTTCTTTCAAAGCACATTTGGACCCCACCTCCTGCCAGGCAACAAATTAAATGAATTCGCTCGGTGCCAATGGGCAAAATGATTAAATTAGGAGAGTGTTTTGCTGGAGTCTACCCTTGAGGCCTTTTCAGGATTTCATTTTGTCCTTAACAAATTATGCATATTTATAAATGTAAATGCTGCCCACTGGCCACCGACAATTGAAGTTGCTCACGTCACGGCTCTGGGCGGTGGTATGGATGAGGATACGGATGCGGATGAGGATGCTGATGAGCAGCCGTCGGCAGCTGTAGTCATCCTTGATGTATGACTCCTCATTATGCGCATAAATGGGTATTGTTTGGGCTTGGTCGGTAGCCTGTTGCTGTAGGCCGTCCTGGGCTGTCTGATGGAATGTTCTGGTGATTTAGGCCTATAAATCTGAGCTCCTTTAATGCGATGCACTGTCAAGAAATGTGGCAAGAAAAGCCGTCGCATTGAGGAAAACATTTTACCACTTTACCGGCCTATAATTTACTATTTCTCTTTCCAGTGTACCCTAAGTTGTTTGCGGGTGAATTCAATTAGTAGCTTGGACACAGGTCCGCCCTCGTATCAATTAGAGCACATCTTCAACGTCAGTAGCACACAGGTAAACACTCTGGAGATTTATGTGCAACAATCACAACAATTAACTGGCCCAGAAACCGAACACTCGAAGGAAGTAAGCTGTTTCACGTGCCTATCTTAGGGCCTATCTTGTATTTATTGTTAACTATTGTTTATGCACTGTGGTCTGGTCGTCTGCTTGTGTGCGTCCTACGGCATCGTTTCTGCCTAATTGAAAAGCACTTGTTGTTGCTCAGAAACAGAATCAGAGATAACCATTTACCGGACTGGCATAGACAATGTGTGAGGATTAAACATGAAATATTGTCCATGGAATATCCAATTATCAACAACTAAGCTCTTTAGACAAGCTTCCCGGCTCTCGACACTGCCGCAACTGTTGCTGTCGATGCCATCAAGATGACTGACCGTTTCGATGGTATTGATGATGAGCTGAGCGGAGACCGCAATGTGCCGCAGAAAATGCAAATCGCAACCGCCTTGGCTAATTAATTAATTATTCACATTTCGCACAGTTGTTGTGGCAGAAAGCGGCTTTGATCTTCGCCCGCCCAAACACGAGTAGTTCCGCAGATTTATGTAAGACAAGCAACGCCCTAAGGTTGCATGGTCACTAAACAGGTTGTGCAGATTCCGGGGTCCCGTAACCCGTAACCTGAGTCCGAGTTTTTTGTCAACGCTTAAAAAGGCACATTTATCTCTGATTACCCCTTGCCAATGCTTCGAGGCCCGCATGTTGCAGCATCCGAAGATGAAACATGAACCGATGCGATCCCGATCCCGATAGCCAACTCGAATCAAATTTGCTGGCATATTGCAAGCCAATCGTCATTTGTCATATTTCCGATTTAACGTTTGGCTAGCATGTATAAATATCATTGGAAAGCACAAGTTAGGCGCCAGTCCACAAGTTTTATAAGTCCACAACAGATCCTCAGCTCTAGACATCGATACTCCAGCCCAAGATGCGTGGATTCCTGGTGAGTAACCTTCAACCGTTTAGGTTCATGGAATATGGATAACATTTTAACGAAAAGAAATAATTAATCAACTTATTGTTTTTGCAGTTATTTTGCCTTATTGTATCCGTTTCGGCGGCCAAGTTGGGATATAATTACCAAGCTGCCGCTGGCGACCGTCGTTTTGCTGGACTCATCGATTCCGAGGCTACAGGATTCAGTGCCACTTCATCACAGCAGCAGCAGCAGCAACAGCAAGATGCCCGACTTCAAGTACCGGCTGCCGTGGATGAGTTTAGCAAGGAGTTCTACACGTACACCGCTCCCGAGGAGGAGTTTGCCGATAGAGAGGCCACCGAGCATATAGCCAGCATGCTGAAGCGGAACCTGCGAGTGCTGTTCATCAAATCGCCGGAGCACCAGGGTCTGACCAACGCCGCCCTCCAGCTGGCCAAGCAGGCCAGTGAGCAGCGCACCGCCATCTACGTGCTCAGCAAGCAGGCGGACATCGGGCAGCTGGCCCAGCGTCTGCAGAATGAAAACCAGGCGGTGAGCCACAAACCGGAGGTACACTTCGTCAAGTACCGCACGCCGGAGGATGCGGTGCGAGCACAGCAGCTCATCCAGCAGCAGTTCGACGCCCTGGGCGGCAGCTCACGCAGCTCCGACGAGGGCGTTGCTCCCGTCCTTGACTTCAGCTCGGCTCCGGCCAATGAGCCGGCTCAGGCTTCGGTCCAGGGCCAGGAGTCAGGTGTTCTAAATACAAAGTATCTGCCTGCAGCTTCGTTGCGTAGCAGATAGTTGCTGTTGAAGTTGTTTTAAGCTTTATCCTAAGCCTAACCTTAGTTCTATTTTAAATAAAATACAAATTATACATAGTAACAATATTTGGCGTTTGTAAGGAATTATCCTTCGCACATTCTCGAAGTTTTCCGCAGAATATTTCGAAAAGCTTAAACTAAAATGTCACTGGCACACACTTCACCACGAACAGTGACAGCTTTAAGGGAAAACTTTAAAGGCGATTATCTTTCAAATACAATATGCTGCATAGGGCAGGATCCAGCTGCTTCCTGGCCACTCAAAAGGCCCTACTTCTCCACATCCTTGCGTTAGTGCCATACTGCTGGAGGGCATGGGCCATGCTTTTCCTTTGCCTCCTTTGCGGCGACGACGACGACTCTGATTCCTATCTCGCATGCTTCTGTCATATTTCACATTTTAAGTGCCCTCTGGCAGATGGCAACCAGTCCCCGCTCTCATGAATAATTTAATAATATAATAATAATTTCGAGTATTGAAAACAATTTACAGTTTCCCAAGCTAACGGCCCTATGGGGGTCAAGGATTGATAAAACATAAAATATGGGCTGTCGTTAGCGCTAATTAGGGGGGCCAGCCGGCGGCGGAACAACTGTCAGGTGAACGCTACGGGCCTTGAATTTTAAATGCTCGCCTATTAATAGACAGGTTACACAATCCTACGCATTTTCAAGGATCTAGGCAACACACAAATAACCGCAGCTATCTTTACACACAAAGGATGCTCACCATCTCGGATTTCCACATTTCCTGCTCTGTTTGTTTGGAGGGATTCTGTAACCATTGCTGCGCCCCATTGCTGGGCGGTGGCGTAATTTCACAGAAATGCGATATAAAAGTACAACTGCTGGGAGAAATAAAAAAAGGCAGCCAGTAATATGGAGGATATAAAATGAAGTGCAGACAAAATGTCTGCCATTTGGCCCGGTCGAGCGGGAAACTTCTATATTGTCCTTATCGGATTAAAGTGTAATTCCTATTCAATTAATACAAACGACTGCTGCAGGATGGTCAGTTTGGCGGCCATAACTTAGCCATCCAATTGAGATCGAAAGAGCGGGAAGCGGAAAGGGAGGATATTTTCGTTTCAGTTCGCTTTTGCAATTTAATTAAACAAACAGTTGGCTCTGCGGTTTGAATCAGCAGCACCAGCAGCACCGCCAACAGCTCCAATAGTAATAGAAACCATTGGCCTTGGGGAAATGTAATTTGCTGGGACAACAACAATAACTGCAAACATTGCCAAGTGCCGACGTGTTGCCGACAGCTCTAATCCTTTGTGAAAAATTGTTATCGTTTGGGTTGCTCGCAGGGGTTTTCGCTCTAAATTTAATTGTCCTGGGGTTTGGGTTTCGCCTTTGACCGTTCGCTCGATTGCCGTCCGCCGGTGTTGCATATCGATTATTTTTAATTGCTCTTTAACATACCCGCTTCATTTTCCCGTCTGGGGACATTTAAACATGTAATTACTGTCCCGTGTGTGAGGGACTTTAAAGCACACCACCCAACTATAGTGGCAGTCCACAAAAAAAGCCACGTTTGGAAGGAATTAAAGCCATCAAACGATGAGGGAGATGTGCGAAGCCGTTGGCGTGTCCTGGCTTCTTCGCCTGTCAGTTAATGCTTATCTTCCTAATGTGGCAAAAGCTTTCCTCGCCGCAAAAAGTGCGAAACCTAATTCTGAATTGAATCGAAATCGGAAGAGAGAATGAGAATATCCAGGAGCTCGACAAGCTGCCACATCATTCATGTGCCTCGGCGCTAAAGTAATGAAAAAGTCTCATAAAACTTGAAGTGCTCGTAAAGCGGAAATAAGTTGCGGTGCGAGTAAAATAGTGTTATTTACTTTTTGGCTTCGTGTGAATGATTTGATGACGTGGCATACGTGCAGGCCTGAAGGTGCATATGTGTGTCACATCGCAGCCAATTAAGAAGGCTAAAGGAAAAGACACCACAAAGCGTTGAAAAAGCCATGGCCAAAAGCCGCAGCTGAGCTTTCAAAGACTGTTTTTGGAGAAAACAAATGAAATAAAACATATCATATAAAGGTCAGCAAGATCAATATTCAATTAAATCTGGGTGAGGTCGTGTTGGTAGTACAAATTTCGCACTATTGACCTTCAGGATAATCACAAACTATATCACGATAAATTTTTCTCTCTGCATTAGCTATGGACTGCTTTTCTGTAAGCCAAGTCTGTTAGTCATGTATCATTATCCCTTTTGTTTTTAGCCGGGTAAGTCGCTTGTGAAGGCCGATGTCGTTCTCTATGAGCCATAACACCCTCCGTGTTTGCGAACAGGACAGTTGGTCTCAGGACAATTAGGTTTTCTTGGGAATCGATTTGTTAATGCCTTAATTCGAAAACACAGGACCCTCTCATGCATTATTCATGCGTGAGGTGGCAAATACGGATCGTGCTTTCGAATTATCGATGACAATGGATACAGATTGGCCGACAAGTCAATCATAAATCGCTGCCAACTGGGTGGATGTGTGGCGAGCGTGTGGGCGGAGCGTGGCCTTATTCCGTTTGGCCTAATTTGTTTTGCAACCACTTGACTGCCGGCAATCGACAAGTCCCGAAACTCAATTGAACCGCAATTTCCAAATCGCACCCTAATACACGTAATAAAAGGGGGTGGCAGACAGTAGAACACCCAACCCTTCCTTGGCCCCTGCCCCCGGGCCGCAATGCAAATATGGGAGTGGCTGCATGTGGATCCAAGGCGGGGGGGGGGGGGCGTGTCATGGGGGGATGGCTCAGCCACAGACAGGAGCCGGAGCGAAAGGCAGCACAAAACGGAAATGAAACTTATTAAAAGATTTGGATCTAATCGATTTTCGTCCTTTCACGCCGAAATGAACTTTGCCGTTGCTCGACTCGACCCGATTCGGGCCGTTTGTAGCTTTTAGCTTTTAGATTTCAGTCCCCAGCTGAATATGCTGCCATTAAAGTGGAGCGCCCACCCGTAGTGTCCTTGTGAAACTATGTCCCCCCCATTTGCCTTCTCCTCCGGCTCTCATCTGGCACAGCGTTGACCAGCCATAAATTTAATTGAAAACCAAACTGTTCCTGTTCTGTCTGTGACAGAATGGCGCTCATGTGCAACTCTGGCTTCCCAGGACCCTGTTCCCGGGCTCTGAGTCTTTGGGTGATTGTGTTTACTTGGGAGTGACTTTTACTAAATTTGATTTGCCGTCGAGTGTGGCGAATGTAACTGCAGTTCTGGGGACGTGCCACTTGCACAACGAACACCTCAGCTCACGCGAGACAAATGCGATTTAAACTAATTTGAATACCGAATGGATGGTGTGCTCTTATCGCCACACACTCCCATTCGTTTTTTCAAGAACTTTTTCCATAAAAATCTATAAGCACCGAGCAAAAAACTGGTTATTGATTGGATCTTGAACACCGTAAATTAATTTTTTCAGGCACTGAAATTTTATATGATAAAATATGGAGGCAAATTGGTCAGTGTTCCATATACATAGGTCAATCAGGCGTTTACGGACCATGTTTTTTTCTGTGGAACGGCCAAATGCACGTCTGGCCAACTGGCAGGTTAAACATACATGCCAAGCCAAGCAGGGAGCATCAATTGTCTATCTGACCATGGCGAGCTGGGGGCCAAATGGCTAAAGCATGGCACGACCCACTCGACAGGACCTCCGGCTGCTGCACCTGCTCCTACTCCAGTTACTGATCCTGCCCTCTGACCGAGCTGCACCATCGATGTACCGCTGCGTTATTGAAATCGTCGAGGCAGCAAAAGTGTTTGAGTGCACTCAAGCGAACACTTGCACTCACATTCGCATTCACATGCACATTCATCCCCCCACATTTTCAGAGCACGTGCGAGCGTAACTGGACCAAAAGGCAACCATAACCGTGGCAGTTAGCGGCAATTGCATTTTTATTTACATTAGCATACCCGGCCGGCATCGTGCAGTTAATTAACACGCACCGATTGGCAAACAGTCACCGCATTTGCATTAAACAAAACAACAGACTAAGAGACTGTGCAAAAATCAAGTTGCATCAATTGAATGGCAAATTAAGTGCCAATCAGCCTGAAAAGCATTCGGAAACAGTGATATGTGTACGTGGTGCTGCACTCATTTTTTATGCATTGACTGACTTGTTGCTGACTGTTCTTATATTTCAAATATACCCATCGCTTGGCAGCGACCTTGTGCTCCGGCATTCGATGGAATGCAATTCGATATCGTCTGTACAATTAACGATAAATGGTCAGCCAGCTTGTGTGTACGATTTCCGTTTCCCAGACATTTCCTGCTGGCATCCACAGAAACCATAGTTGTGGCCAACATAAGGACACGCCAGTACAAGCCGGCAGCCTTTTTGCGAGAATCAGCAGCAAAATCTGGATTACTTCGTTTTAATTGATTTTGTTACTCGCCTTTATTAATTCTCGTCAGACGGCCAATTTGTGAGAATTAAATTTTAAAAGCTTACGTGATTTACAGTGAATAATCAAGTTAGCAGCTCACTTAGCTCTTCTTGCTTGGGGACCTGTGATTACCAAGTATTACGTATACGCCCCGTCTGACGGCCTTTGTGCCTTCGAGTCGGTGTGAAGGGATGAACCCAATCAATTCATGAATTCAATGAGTAGACAAGCGGCTGCCTATTATGGCAAGAGGGGTGTACGTGTGTTGGTACGATTTGCATACGTATATACTTAGGTGAAGGTAAATGTCAAGCGGCGCACTAAGATTGCCGCTAAGTCGCATTAACGTCATTCAAGATGGGCGTCTAAGCCGTCTATGCACGATTGCATGTGCAGCTCACACATGAATTGTTGCTGATTTTCGCTCCTGCCATCCAGCGTTCTCCCATCTCGGCGTCCTGGAAGCGCTGTTGCACAAATGGCATACAGTACGCGAGCAATGGCTTTGCCAATGTCGCCGTGTTGAACACGTTTTCAACACATGTTCCGCAAATCGTCTGTGACTGGCAGTGGCATATATGACTCGTAGATATATGTATATATATATATAGGTATTAGAGATCTGCAGGAATACATTCTTATTG